TATAGTTAATAATAGCAGATACCGCTTTGAGCGACCTCTAAATATTTTTTTGATTTCAAAACAAAAAAAAACGGGGATATTTATAATGTTTTCCTTATAGAACAAATCTAGGGGCTGAGAGCACTAAAATTCCGACTTTACTTTTTTTTGGGCCCCCTAAAGTACATAAACTGATGGCAAAAATAATAGACTCAATTTATTTTGATCAGTTTGACTATATTTCTTTGATTGATTTAATGTTTATATTTTTTTTATAAACGCCTTGTTTGTTATGTGTTCAACAAACACCACATAAATCCACATTTCAAACAGTACAAAAATTATAAAAAATCAAGAAATGTTCACCGATTTTTATTCAGAATTTTCAATGATACCGTTGCGTAATTTTTTTTTTTTTTGCTGGCGGTACACCAATTTTTTTCTTACAAAGTATGTTTGAAAATTGTTTTATATGTATGAGAATGAGCAGCACTGTTAAGTAAAAAAATTGCCAAACAATTTTTTAGCCATTAGAAACTTGAACTTTATTTGCACGTACTTAAATTGAATGAGCTATAAAGTTGCATACCAAATAATTTTTTAGAAACTTTGAATAAAAAAATTGAAATTTTTGGTGAACATTTTTTGAATTTTTTTACAAAGTTTGATATGTGGTGTTTGTTATATAACTAGCTATACTTTTATTTAAAAAGAAAATTATAAGCATTAAATAAATCATAGAAATATAGGCCAAACTAGTCAAAATAAGACGAGTCTATTATTTCTGTCACCAGTATATACTTACATATATATACAAATTATGTACTTATATTATTACTGTTTTTAACATTCCTTTCTGTTTGTAATATTTTTCCTCGCTTTATTTTAATCTATTTTTTTTATGTTATGTGACTGCTTTATTATTTTCGTTCACTTCTTATTTACTTATCTTATTCTCAGTGTGTCATCTTAGCTTAACCTTAATAACAACGTTTGTGGTTATTGATGTTGTTGTTACATATATAATTAAAGCTAATTTATGCATCTTCATCGTGCGCTTCAATCTGTCTCGTTTGGAATTGGCAAATGCTTTCGTGGATGTTTTTCATGACGGAAGTGCACTGACCGGAGGGTTTGCTATTATTTATTTGTCGAGGGTTCGCCAATTTCTTTATTACTTTTAATATTGCACAAATCAGGAATCGAACCTGGGTACTACTAGAGGGAAGTAAAATGAAGCATAGCTATTATGGTTTTTACATAAGAAAAGTTGCATGATAACTTTCTTGCTCAGAAAACTCGATACAGATACTTACCATATATATTAGGGTGGTCCAAGAACACCTGAAAAATGTTAAACGGTAAACGGTAAAGTCGGAGTTTTAATGCCACCATCCCCTATGATTGTTTTGTACTGAAAAAATATACCCCTATTTTTTTATTTTGAAATCAAAAAATATTTAGGGAGTGCTGAAAGCGCTCAAAGTTTTCCATGTATTTTATATGGGATGAAAACAACTTTTCGTAGAAATGGTATAAAATTCTTGAAAATCAATTATTTTCGATCGGAAAACTGTGGTTCTCTTCAGGTGACTTCCAGTATTAATACCCAATTGTTTATTTAACCATTTTTTAAACTAAATGTATACAAAGCTTGAATAATACAACAACAAAAACATCTTCACTCATAACATTTTAGAGTTAAAAACTCTTTTAACTTCAGGGGTTTGTTAGTTAGTTAGTTAATTTTTTGGGTGTAACAGAACAAGAGACACCGCGACCTAAAAGATCTTTTGTATGTCTTCTCTTAAAGAGAGTCTCTACCCCACCAAGACTGTGACCAAGATACCTTCGGCTTCGCTAATGTATCCTAAAAACGTCTTGATAGGCGAATTCCTTATAACAAAGCGTTCGGCCATTGAAGATTTAAAATAAATTGATCTTTGTCTGGCCAAAGCTCCGAAATGCTCCGAAGTTTCATCATCCTCGAGGCAGAGCAGAGAAAATCACTTCACATTTATGGTACCTTTCGGAAGAAACTATTTGCCTTTCTTTATTCGATGATAAATGTCAGTGAAAGAATCTATTGCCAAAATGTTAAAGGTAACCTATGACAGAGAGTATGTGGAGAACTTTGAAATAAAAAAAAGAAAGGCTTTCAACTGGAGAATTTTCCGACAGTAAATATTTACCAATTTTTTGTTATACTTGGCTTTGATCTTCAACGGAATGTCAGAGAATGGACAAATAATGATAATTATAAGCAATTGAAGGTACCTATAGCCGATTTAAAAGTAGCTAATGGCATCGCAGAATCTCTTAACAAGAAACGAAAAACAACAACGAGCTTTATTTTAAACAGTTAGCGAGCATCGAAAAAAGTTGAAAGATGTTAGAAAAAGTTCAGTTCCGAAGATATGGAATGACTTTTGTAACACAATTTTTGTTTTGTTTTTAGTTTCTGATGATTGATTCATTTGTCAAAGCTTGATTACCCTCTATGTTGACCAAAGACTTCATACGGGTTTTTTTACCGTTAGAGTCGCTAATCGTACTAACTACATTATGCAATTTAAGGAAATTCCCCATCATTTTTCACAATAAACACAAATGTTCTATATGCATAGGCATATCATACATATGTATGTAAGTGCACGAAATTTCTTAGGAAAAACGCATAAACACAATTTAAGTAAGTCTTATACTGATAACGACTTTGCTCAGCTGGCAGATGTAAAATTCCACTTAATTTAGAATAAATTAATTTTTTTTTTTAATAATAGATTAATATTTGAAATTTGATAGCGTTAGTTTTATAAAGGTAAAAGCAGTTTTTTTTGTAATAAACGTTTTTAGTCGTAATTTTGATTGTAGACGCGGAATTAATTTACAGAGCTTAAATTCAGCAATACATTTTAGTTGAAAGATCAAATACATATAAAATCAAACATGTGTATATATGTGTGTACATAAGAGTGGTCCTTAAATGTAGAAAGAAATTTTTACATCAGATTTCTTAAGCCTCAACTCCGCCGTCGATGCTACTATGGTCGAAATTTTGGTCCCGATTGAAGATGGTTAAGGCGTGTCGCACAGGGGGCAAAGTTCAGATTCCTCTATGGAAACCTAAAGAATTAAAATTAATATATTTTTTTCATCTAATACCCAAAATCGATACTACCATAGTCGAAGATATCATATATGTATAAATTTTAGTCCCATTTGAAGTCGGTTAAGGCGTGTCGCACAGGGGTCAACGTTCAAATTACCGTATGAAGACGTCTTAACCGACTCCAATCGGGACGAAAATTTATATGTGATATCTTCGACTATGGTAGTGGATAACGATTTTGGGTATTAGATGAAAAAAAATTTATTTTTATTTTTTAGGTCTCCATAAGGACCCCCAGGGGGGGCCCCCTGTGCGACACGCCTTAACCATATCCAATCAGGACCGAAATTTATATGTGATAACTGTGACCGTGGTATTACCGATTGAGGGGGTGAGACTCAAAAAAATCGTTAATTTGATTTTTTAAGGACCACCCTAATGTACATACATATATAAATATTTTTCAAAAGGTGTAAACTTATTAACACGTTCAAGCAATATATTTTCCATGAAATTAATAAATGTTTAATCGCTTCCTTTAACTTGTTGCTATGAGCTTATCAATCAAGTTGTTTTTGCAAGATTTGCTGTTCTCGCTGCTAAGCACCAGTGCGCTATGCCTATGACGCTGTACCACTTAATAGATACTGTTTACGGCTGACAACACCCACATAAAGTGGAGAGTTGCCACTTAGAAAAAGTTTATGTAAATAAAATCAACCGTCGGAATGAGCATATTCTGGCGGACATATTATCACTTTATCGACCGTAACATTCGCTGTCATCAACTCGCAAAGCCATATGAATAAATAGTAGGCAATTGCTTTTTCTTAAAATTTCAAACCTTTTACTTAAATCTATTTGAACAAATCGAGTAAAAGGTCTGAAATTTTACGAAAAAGCATTTACTTAGTTTTTAGTTATATGACCTAGTATGTTGTTATAGTTTGGGCCAAAAAAAAATTTCGGTGGCACATTTCAACCCGTCGAATGATACCGTAGCTCAGGGATTAGCAGGGGGTACTACGACTTGGAGCCACTACTGAGGGTGAATGCTGGCGACAGGGCCTGAGAAAGACATTCACCGCTCACACAGATGGCTCCAAGATAGACAGGGGGCGTAGGCGCAGCAAAGTTTTGCGGGGATCTCCATCTTAGTAAGTCCTATTAGCTTCCGGGCTATTGCAGCGGTGAAACTGGAAACCGAATAAATTAACGAGTGAACATTTATATTGAGAGTCAGGCTGCGATTCGGGCACTTTCCCAAGAAGTGTGACAGAGTGCAGGGCAGCCATGAATGTAGGGGCTAATTTGATGGAAATTCGCAATACTGGGCTTTTCCTGCATTTATTGTTTAGCAGTAAAAGACGCTGATGCTTTGGTGTGCTGCATTTTCGAATAGGGTGGTACTATTATATATACTGGGTTCCTTGACACGCCGGCGTTACGGACAATGAGAAGGCCGACCCGACAGGGTGTCAACACATAGCTGCAAGATGCCTAGCATCATGTGAAGAAGATACGGTTCCAAGCTCACAACGTATGAAGGGCAATGAAGCACATTCTCTGTGAGTCTGCGACCCTTAGCAGACTATACATTAATGCCTCTGGGAAAAGGTTTTCTTCCGAATCTAGACGCAGCTGCCAAAATAGGGTACAAGAAGGTGTTTCAGCTGGCCAAGAGGACTGGGATGCTTCTGGTCTCTAGAGATTACATAGCTGTGTAATTTGAATTTAGTTTTTCTAATAACGCTGTGTCTCTGCGGAGCAAGCCTAATCTAACCTAACCACTCGGTGTAATATAGGTTTGATGCTTAATCGACGAAATATATAAATTATAGAAGTTAAATTTTGCGTAGCTTTAATAATTCCAGCCTGGTGGCTGAAGCTAAAGGCAACAGGTGCGACTTTGGTTCGCTATTCACAGAAAAATCAGAGTCCTCCCTCTAGAAATCATTCATCGCGCCCTCTTTTATGCAAGATGTATTCATTTATTTTTCCCACAATTATTACATTTAAGAATGAGTATGCTCGAAATTAATTATCCGTCGCCAAAATTCTGTTAGGCACCTTCTCAATTGCATTGAATGCTGTTGAATATTTCCTCAGTAAAACCATTTATATAAGAAGGCCTTGTACAAAATCCGATTGTATTGTTCTGTAATTAAAAGAATAATTATTTTATTTTGTTCCACTTTTAACTACTATTTCGTTTTCATTTACATATGTTTATATGCATATTTTAATTTTGCTGTACGACAGTCTTGAGATATTGTGTATAGCAATTATTTCTTTAATACTTTTAAAACAATTTGAATACCTACTTTTATTAAAGTTTAGCTTTCCACATCGAAGAACCAACGTATGTATGTATTCGGGTTTCCATTGGAGAGCTCCGACGCACTCCGACGTTTCACTCTGACACATATGTATGTATGTAGCTGCCTAATTCGATTACCCTCTGCAAATTATTGCCTTGATGAGGCTATTTCTCTTAAACGCGGCGTCTTTAGCAAACAAAATATAAAATAATCGGCTAAACCTTTCCCAATCCCGAATGAAATTGAGTAGGTTTAAGAGTCCCACCTCCATCATCACTGTCAGGTGACTGCGACCCGGACATCGGCATTGAAATTGATCAATTTTTTTCCAATTTTCAGGGTGGCAGCTTCTGCAGATAGATAGATAGTGGTATTCGCCATCTTTGAAGCATCGATGCATGACGCTAGTAAAAACTCTTGCTACAGATAAATTGAGTTCCGATATCACTACCTTTGAGCCTATTTCTTCCAATCCTCTTAGCAAAGACAGAGATATGGGATACCCTGGCTATTAGCCGTCCTACATATTTAATTGTGACATCTCTTTGAAATAAAACTCAGCTTGAAAGATGCTGCAATGCCTTAACAGACCAAATGTCTGACTAGTCCGCAAATTAAGTAGAAACAGTAATCTATTAAAACATCTGGTTTAAAGAAGTTGTATATGTATATGTATGTCTCTGCAAGAAGGCTCACTGGCCTAATGAGGTTTTTTGACTCAAAAATAAAAAGAGCAATTTTGTCGTACGATGATCGAAACCCCAAACAAATGTTACCGTAGTTTCGGAACTACAAACTATTCATTGCATAAAGCAAAGGCTAATTGGGGTAGCAATACCTACCAGCCGCTATCGTCATAATGGATATGAAATGAAGCAGCAAGTAAGGCCTCATGCAAGCTATCATGTATTTATACACCGACGACTTTTAGGTTGAGCAGTCATTCTTCCCAATCACTTAGGGATTTAGAGAGGCTGATTATCCTGCACATGTTAAAGAGGATTTTCCATAAGAAGCTGTACTTGGAAGACCTTAAATAAGTTTTTTTTTGTGTAAAAAGATTGCTTGTTCAATGTCTTCCTTGATTATCTTTTTAATAACAACCTCCTTGAGGTGATACGAAGGACTTTCTTACGGCAAAGAAGTCTAACTGACGAATGTTCTGCAACAGAGCAGGGTTGCGTGATTTCAAATCCTTTTTGAAGGAGGAAGGAGTTGGAAGATCATAAGCGCTTGGGGAGACCGTCAACGTCAACCAATGAAGACACGTGCGCTAAAGTTAAAGAAATGTTGAGATATAACCACAAAATTAAACATCTGTTCGTTCGAGTTTGACGGAACTTTACGACTGTCGTCTGTTCATTTTTGACTATGTTCCAAACAGAACCTATTTTTTCCGCATAATAACTGGGGATGACACATAGATCTACCAACATGGCACCGAATATAAGGTGCAATAAAAAGAATGGTTGCCAAAAGGAAGTGCTGAGCCGAAATAATTCAAGTGGGAGAGGTCAGTTAAGAAAATTATGGCAACAGTCCTTTTGGGATGCCGAAATAGTTATCCTCGTAGAATTCTTGATGCAAAAGAAGACAGTGACAGCAACTAGTTTTTTTTTTTGAGTTACTAAAGAAATCGAAAGCTGCCGTCATGAAAAATCGGTCTGGAAAGTTGCCAGAGCGTGTGTTGATTCAGCATGATAAGCTTTACTAATTAGTTATCTGCTTTCAATTTTAGCTTGAAGCTCAATTTTCGCTACATTGGTTCTTTTTCGTTATCAGAAAGATGATGATTTGCAGAGGTCGGTAACATTTTAGTCATTTAATGGCAAAAGCATGTCGATTGACAACAAGACAAGATTTCTACCTAAGCAGATATTTACAAATGCAATGCATAGTGTGGCGAAAATATGAATAGGGAAGAGACATTTTAGCATTTCTGGGCTATTTCCCTTTCGATTATTTAAAGTTAGTATTATTTTTCATGAAAGTTATCTAACAAAAGCCATTGAGGGATTCACAATGGTGTCGTAAGTGTCGTATTGTTGTATGCCGTAAACTTTAAAAGCTTAAATAAATGTTTAGAGAACTTGAAAGCACAACCAACTATTCTTTAACACTGCGAAAATCCATAACATGACTTTGATGATAATTTGCGAACCCGCTTAATATATTTTTTAGACGTTTAAAGTTTACGACATACAACAATACGATAATTACGACACCGTTGTGAATACCCCACATGTAAGTCGAAATTTAAAATTAATTTCACAAGGTCTCACCAAAATATTAAGCTTTTTAATTAGATTTCTTAGAAACATTCTGAGTACTCAAGTTTTTAGCCCATTCAATTTTATTTAAAAAAAAATAATAATAAAAATTTTTTAAACGAAGAAAAATAGTCAAAACTTTCTAAAATGTGTTTTTCCCTATTTACATTCTCGCCACCGTATGTATACAAGTGCATTAAGGAACACACTTTGAGCAAGTGAATTCCCTCTCTCAACTGATGATACTGCAAAGAGGTGTGAATCCCATTTGCACAACTTTTACATTTTACTTATCACACTTAACAATGGCGCAGCACATCTCTCTCCCTCACTCTCCCTCCTCTCAAGTTTTTATGAACGCCAAAAGCACTTACCTTGAAGATGACATCAGAGTTATTCTCAAAATCGTCAAAGAAATTCCAATCACTATTGTCTGGACCCAAACTTTGTAACAGAGTCTCGAAGATATTTTCTACGAGCTGTCTATACTTGCGATTGCCAGCAAAGGATTTGGTGGCAAAAATGGCGCGTTCCAAACTGGCTTCAATGTTGCATGTGCTGTATTCCTGCCGCTCGGCCACAGTGAGATTGGCGCATATCAATATCTCATCTTCGGTGGGCTCATACTCGGCGGAATCACGAATCTTAATCGTTGCAGTGTCGTTCTCGGACAGATTGCACACATCCTGGCCACGCTTAAGATTAAAGAATGCAGCAGCACGAGTGGCGCGCTCATTCGTAGTATCCACATCTCTATTGGGGCAAAATATAAATAGAATAAGGTATAAATAAAAATGTAGTTATATACATATATATTTGTAGGTCTACTCACATAGTCGCATCGTATAGCTCCAAAAGCGTAATGGTTCTGGGTGCTACCGCTACGTAAAAGCTCGATCGATTTTCATGCGCATACAGCACTGGCGTTAGACCGCCCGCACGAGCCGTCTGGTATTCCTGCCCATCGGCCACCACCAAATCAGCTGCACCCGTCTGTAACGCACTCACGCAGGCATCATAGGAATCGCGTTGAACGCATTCTAGATTCAATTGAATGGAACTGTTGGCAGCTACTTCCACTGCATAAAGACACTTGTCTTGAGCTAATTGCGTGGAACTGCATAAGCGCAAGGTTTGCAGTTGTGGCTGTGGCTGTGGTTGCGGCCGTGGTGGCCTTGGGGGCAATGGTCGATATGGTGGACGTCCAAGGGAACCGGGTCGACCAAAGCCAAAGGGACCACCGAATCCACCAGGACCACCGAATGCACCAGGACCACCGAACCCAACTGGACCACCGAGCCCAACTGGACGGTAAGCCTCTGTGACTGTTAGAAGCAAAAGTATAACTGTAACATTAACTATTTTCAACATTTTGACATTTCTATACCCCAAGGTTGATGAGCTATTTATATTTACTACCTTCGATATTAAACAACAAAGCAAAACATTCTCAGTAGTAATTACTTTTTAATTACTTGCGAGACTCCTTATCAGAGCTTCTCGACTGTCAAAACAAGGTAAGTACAATGCATGGAAAGTTTTTATAACCAACAGACATTTCATTAGCAGGATCAGCTTCCACACACAAAGCTACAGAGATACAAAGAGCTTATATTTGACACGTTTCGTCAAGAAATGACCAACGGTCGAAGCACAATTCTAAAAGAGTTTACACGAAGCCTATAGAGATCACTTGCGGATCCAAGCAGATATTTTTATTTACTTTTCCCAAACCTCTCTTTCAATGTCCCTTAATCATTCTGATATTTTAATGAATCCATTCTTCAAATTAGGCCATTCATAGAGTACCTAGACTTTCGAAATGCAGAAATTTCGCATAAGGCCTACGCAACGGTTTCGTATTCGCAGGACGAACCGTATTAAAGTTTATTTTTGTCATAGCAAGTCTGATTTCCAACCTTCTCTTCATAACAGTCGGAAGAGGACCAATCTGCAGATGATATGGGTCGGAAAGCAGCTCGCTGCCAACCACCCTCCAATGAAAGAGTTGGTCCTCTTTCACAAACCTAGAGGGGGAAGAGAAGGAGGGAGAAACGCAATAAGGTGAAACGCTCTTGTATAGCCTGCCGAACTTTCCCTGTCGCTACATCCAGTAAGCGGCCCAGGTCTACGGAGGTTACTCCAAAATCCAGTGGGACCTTGGTTGATGCATCGACGCCCAAATCTGCTGGCGAATGCACCAAGAGAAGAAAACCCGTGGCGACACACACTTATACCTGGCTCAATGGCTCTTCGAGTCATAGTGTGGCGAGTGCTGGTGTGGCATTGCCCATCAGCTATGCAGACCTCAGGCGCTATGAAACCTTTGTCTAAAACCAAGAGTAGAAGTGATGCAAAGGTCGGTCGAGGCAGAATTGCCCTTGCTACGTCCTCGCAGCATTAAAACCTTCCAACTACGTTCGGGGATATGTGCCCGGCCGACTTATTGGGAGGCGGTAAAAGACCCTCTGCTCATTGGGTTCGACTCGCAGATGACTAACGCAAAAATTATACAATGCAAGAGCCGTCATTGCCTCCAGCACGGCAGCCAAAGCACGTGGGTTACGAGAAGAGAGATGGAACCATTGTGGTGAAATGCCTCACCACACTTTTTTTATTTTGAATAACGTGTTGTCCGGCTATTTGGTTTACTATACAGGTATGTAGAGCTATGAATTTAAAAAATACATCAGGGTTTAGTTGAGATATTAGGCCTTGACCACTATGTTCTGTACATTTCCCAGTACTGCAAAGCTTTTGACTGCCATTCACCTGGGAGTGGCCAGAAATGCGGATCAAATTGCAGCTCACTACGTCCGGGCATTTATATCCATGAACCCTGTGGGTAGCAATCGAACACTCGTTTGGGGGCTAGCTAAAGTGGGAGGGCGTAAAACTCCGCGTGCGCTGGCTTTGGGTCCCGCCACGCTAAAACCCTGCCCAATGAAAACAAAAACACATGCCTCGGATGATACCGCCTTCTTTTGATGACGATCATGGCAAACGTAGAAAGGACTTTTATTTGAGGGTATGCAACTGAAATATCCGAACCCTTAATCGAGAAGATGCCTCTGCCCGGTTGGTTGATGTCCTAGGGAAAATAAAGGCTGACGTCACCGCTATCCATGAAATGCGATGGACGGGGCAAGGAAGGTAAGCGTGGAGCCTTGCGACGTCTACTGCAGCAGTCACGAAAAGGAGCGCAAATTCGGTGTTGGATTTTGTGGTGGGAGAGAGACTCCGTCGCCGAGTACCGGCGTTCACTCTAGTGGACGGACATGAGCCACAATCCGCATCAAAGCGAGATTCTTAAACATCTCGCTCATATGTGCCAATGCCCCGATGGAAGCGAAGGACGAGGCATCCAAGGATCTCTTCTATGAGCGCTTAGACTCTACATAAATATTAACGCTGATCCAGACACGTATAAAAATCGTGCTTGGTGCTTTCAGTGCCAAGGTGGGCAAGGAAGGGATCTTTGGCGCCACTGTCGGAAAATAGCATATATGTATATCTTCTAATTTTTCAGAGACCGTACCGGTTATGCGTTTTAAAATAAAAAGCAAAAAATTTTTGTTATTTTTTTACTTTTATTATTTTGAGCAAATACCACCGATTGCTTTTGATTTTTATTTTTCTGTTTATATGGCACCACCTTTTTTAAAATAGCGCGAACAGTGTAAATCTTATGATTTTTTTAAGCAAAAAAATTAAACCTTCTGCAACATCAAGAGGCCCAGCACTTTCATCTGACACCTAATTTTTTTTAATACGACCTACGCTGCAGGTTTTATAATTTTGAAAATCGAATAATCCAAATTTTAAGTAACTAGGATGTACTATTGATTTTTGGAAATGCGGATTTTCTCCATACAAAAAAATATTCGAACATACCTTGTTTGGAAGAAAATGCATGAACAAAAAATTGTCAAAAATCAACACTTACCTAGCTACTTTAGACTTGCACCTTATTAAACTAAAATTTAAAAAACTGCATACTCAAAAAAGGTCTAAAAAGTCTGATTAAACAGCTTCAATTTTTGGATGAAAATTTGTTAAAATTACGGAAAAAGCAAAAAGAATCGGCTAAGAATGGGCCAAAAACGGCCGATGCCGATGCCGATTAATCGGTCGGACTTTACTTTTTGGTGTCAAAAATTGTAAAATATTATTTATTTTATTTTCAGTCCCTGAATTTTGTTAACCCTTTCCGTACATTTGTAATACATATTGTACCTACATAAAATTTTTGTAACATTGGAAGCATGCTACTAAAAACTTTGTTAATGTTTTTGAAAACCTATTAAACTTTATGAAGTTTTGGGCTGTCCTCAATAGTTTACGTAAATTTCAAAATCGAATACGTTCCAAAAATATTTTTTGAATTTCATTTAAAAATAGACCATTTTATGAAATTCCAGTGCCATGCAAGTGATGGTAATTTATTGTATAAAAAATACTTGAAAATCAATTAAGATCACTAAGAAAATCACATAACTTGTGAATCTAACAAGCATTTCATCATAAAAAATGGTAAAATTAAACTAACTTGATTTAAAACATTTTCCCGTGGGGTCTAAGAAAATGTACAATATATTCTTCAGTAGCATAACTGCCGTTTCACAAAAAATTACTTGCAGGACAAATTTGTTGACTAGTATGTGGATAGCTTTTAATTCTTATATATCGTGACTTATTTATGGCAACACTGATAAATATGCTGCAAATCAAGGGGTATTTATACAAGGCAGTGCTGCCGCTGTCACTTCAATTGAAGTTTCACTTCACTTTAGAAGCCTTCACTTCGTCTAGTGTTCGTTCGATACCACCATGTACTCGATGCAAGTATCGAAGAGAATACTCGATGCTACTTAAAGTATCGCTAGGAAATACTCGATTCTACTTGTCCTGGAAAATATAGATGACGCTTCCGCAAATCATAGAATGGCTCAACATCCTCTCTAATTCGATACGATTTTCGCTCTCCACTTCCAAAATCGATTGGTTCACATCTTGAATCGTTTTTTTTTTTCAAAGACTGCAACACAGATCTATTTTCAGACGATTTTTCCAAATTTAGCAAACAAGTAAATATTTGCATGTAATGTGGAACGATTTTCCGTCATCCCTTGTCAAATTTGGTTTGGAGACAACAACAAATTAGATATACCTATCTCCAAAATATATAAAAATTTCTTTCAAATAAATGATTTATTTAACTAAAACCAGCAATATTTTGTTAAAATTCTTTTCGCAAAAAGCTACTAAAAAGACGCCTAATAAATTAAATCTCCAATCTTGCATCGGTTATTTGAACGAAGTCATTTTGATTTTCACGCACGGAGATGAATGGTTTTCATAATGATTTAGTAAATGTTTGACGAAAATAACAATTATACTTTAGTTAGTAACTTCCTGAAAGGAATATGGATTTTTTTGCAACTAATTTTATACAAAAAATAAACGTATGTATATACAAAGCTTTATTCATTACGAGCAAAATATCCCGAAAAAATTCGGAAAATTTTGGGAAGTCGCTCTGCTATTCTATGATATTGATATGGATCTCCTCAAAGGCGTTCAGCCTCAATTTTCAATTTTAAGAATAAGGCTGATTGTTACAAAGCTCTTTTGTGAGCGTAAACAGTTCCACAAACGTTTCTTACGAAATTCTGAAATAATCCGTAAATTATCTTGTTGATTTGCGTTTTTTTGCGAAGGCTATTCCTTAATCTTCTTCGCAAATATTACTTATTTATATTTCCATTTATCTCCATTGCTCTGGAAACCAATTTTGACAGCTGTTGTTGCTGCACAGCGCGGTTTACGGCTGGATAAAATACTCAAATTTAGGCTAGGCAATTTTTAGCGGCAGGGAGGACAGAATCGCGATTTTTGGAGATCGCCAAAAATTCGAATAACATGTTAACTTAAGCATTTTAGGATAGCGAAAGTTGGAACCCGTCTCCTGAATCACAATTTCTTTGGCTCACAGCGACGTGGATGACCGACCAGCAGCGTTCCCACGACAGTCGGGTCTACGTAACCGGAACGACCCAGATAGATATATATCTGGCCAAGGACTGCCACCACTCCAGCAACACTCCCCAAAATCTCTTTCGGGAATTTGTATGCTGTTACAACAACAACAACCGACCAGCAGCGTTCTGTCATGTTGGGTGAAGATGCCATTGTTTGAGTCTTCGCCAAATTATATTCGATACACGTATGTACACTGATAGCGTGTTATTTTGTGTTGCGAAAATTTCGGTAGTCATTGCCTCTCAACAATCATCGCACCCAAAGAGCAATCCGAAATCTTGTATGGTTCCCCTGCGTTTTTGCTACATAATTGCTCAATAATGAAAATCCTTAGAGTGGCAGTGTGCGTTGCATATCTGGAATAATTACAAAAAAGTAGTTAATCGAGTTTACTTTTAAAAGCACTCAAAACAAATATTTCGTATACATTTAGCAAATGAAATTGCGGACATCCAGCAGGAAAACAGCATATCGCCAATATGTTTTAAAAGTCTTCAAACATGATTCAGTTGCTCCTTGGACAATCTTGTTCATGCCGACATATAAAATTCCTGGAATTATAAAACAAAAACATAAAATGTGCAAACACTTGAAGAAATTCAATAAAAATTACTGCTTGTTTCGCGTAATCAGAAGAAAAATAAACACAAATATATATTCACCATGGTGACACGAATACACAATGTATATTCACCAATGTGAAAATAATTAATACCAGAGTTGTATTTTTATGTAAAGCGTGAACTGCATAACAGGCTACCCTAATATTCACGCACGCCGCCAATTTACTGTCAAAACTTTCTCTTGCACATACAACTTGTATGGGACCAACCGATATTGAGCGGCGTGCGTAAGAAGCTAACTCGATTTCCAATTTTGTTCTGCGTGACATTTTGATTTGACGTTTCGATCAATGAAATCAAATGCAAACGCACTCAAGCCAATTTCGAGTGACGAAAAAAAAAAAACAAATTCGACTGCGTGCGTACCAAACCGCAAGCCGCGAATATTAGGCTAGCCTTACAAATTCATAATGTCGCTGCCGCGTTCAAAAAAAATCCTGTCGTCATCGACAAAGCGTTTAGATAATGAAGATAACAAATTAGAAGCTGTGCCCGTAGCTCGTCGTTTTCAATGTGTTCAGAACTTTAAATTCTAAGTTAACTTACTATTCAACTCAGGAAAAAGGGACGGACTACGTCCATTTTTTCTTTTTCCTCTAGCTCACCGGTTCGTTTTCTTTACCACAGAACTCCACAGGCAAACACCGATGGCCCACCAACCGTCATTTTGACGAGCAATATGATTGCAAGTTTTTGTGTGTGGGCACATTGATGTCTTGAAAAAAGCATTTGCCGCATGACACCACCAGACAACATTCTCTCAACTTGCTGAATAATTTCCTAAAACGTAATCATAAATAATCCAATAGGGAATAGATTTTTATTTTGATTTAATATCAAAATTTTATCGATGTTACCACCAGCACGCTTTCTTTCAAACGAAAATATGGCTGTCAACTATCGAATTGCCTGCAATAGAAGTCAAGCAATAAGCGCTAACATATATTGCAGCCCATGAGAAATTGGCGGTCTCCATTGGAAATATA